GGGAGCCTTTAGGATAATAAATAATAATAAAGGGAATATTTCTCAAAAGAGAGAGAGACTTGGTTAAAACCTGAAAAGGGTTAAGGCCGATTCCTTTCAGGAACCTTGGAAGTTATTCAAGGCCACTGTAGTAGTTGCTCAAATCAGATGTATGCCCCAAATTGGCGAAAGGAGGAAACCTACCTGAAAGCATGCCAGCCTGTGGAACCAGGGAAGCTATGGACTAGAAGACGACTTCCTCTGAAAAGGGGAAGTCTTGTCCTCAAGACAGAAGTGTAAATTAACAATAATGCTAGTCAAGGAATAATTTGAGATTAAAAAGTACACGATGATATAATGTGTGGCAAGAGCTCTTCTTTCCTAGTTCATGGCTTCATATTTGTAAGCACCTAATGAAAAATGGGAGAAGACCCAAGAGTTTGGTTGCAGCAGAATTAGATATTACTGCTTTGAGGTGAAACTACAAGTGGTACCACTTTGGGCTTGTAGCCAGGGGAAGAGATATTTCAGATTTCATTTGATCTTCAAGTCATGGAGAAAATGCAGGACTTTCTGCAGTTTTTCCAGGGGGGAAATGCAGATTGGGAGAGAATTTGTAATATATGTAATACCTAATTCTTACCAGATCTAGATTGATTTTACTGTGTTAAAAACAAAATGCATCATTTTTATCTTATTTAAGAGATCAAATTGTTTGACATTGTTATGAAAGGGCAAAAAGTAACACAAAGTTATTTGCTGGGATGTGGACAATGAAATCCTAAATTACATACCAGGGAGTGGCAAAGCAGGTATATGAGCTAACCAAAAGAAGCTGAATCCCATTTTTAGGTTGCCCATTTTGCCAAGCTGGTAAGTACTGTGATAGATCATTACTGGTTTCCCCCCTTGGCAACTTAACAGAATCATAGAGTTGGAAGGTACCTGCACAATGCAAGGTACCAACCCCCTGCACAAGGCAAGAAATTCACAAATACCTCCGCCCCCCCCCACACACACACACCCAATGACCCATACCCAGAAGATGACAAAAGACTTCCAGGCTCCCTGGCCAAACTGGCCTTGAGAAAAATTGCTTCCTGACCCCAGCGTGGCAATCAGCATTTCCCTGGGCGTGTAAGAAAGGGCCACAAGAACTAAGCACTGAGGCAATCCTTCCTGCCCTCCCTCTCATGATCTGCCTAAGTTCACAGAATCAATATTGCTGTCAGATGGCCATCTAGCCTCTGAAAACCTCCAAAGAAGGAGAACCCACAACCTCCTGAGGAAGCCTGTTCCACTGAGAAACCACTCTAACTGTCAGGAAGTTCTTCCTAATGTTTAGCCGAAAACTCTTCTGATTTAATTTCAACCCGTTGGTTCTGGCCCAACATTCTGGGGCAACAGAAAACAATTGTGCACCATCCTCTCTATGACAGCCCCTCGAGTACTTGAAGATGGTTGTCATATCACTTCTCAGTTGTCTCCTCCTCTCCAGGCTAAACATACCCAGCTCCTTCAACCTTTCCTCATAGGACTTGGTCTCCAGACCCCTCACCATCTTCTTTGCCCTCCTCCGGACACGTTACAGCTTGTCTATATCCTTCTTGGAGCTGCGGTGGCTCAAGTGGTTAAGATGCTGAACTGCAGGCTGTGGAAGGTCAGTAGTTCAGCAGTTCGAGACCCGGGTGCCGGATGACGGAGTGAGCTCCCGTCTCTAGTTCCAGCTCCTGCCAACCTAGCCGTTCGAAAGCAAGAAATTGCAAGTAGATAAATAGGTACCACTCTGGTGGGAAGGTAACAGCGTTCCGTGCGCCTTGGTGTTTAGTCATGCCGGCCACATGACCACGGAAACGTCTTCGGACAGCACTGGCTCTTCGGTTTTGAAACGGAAATGAGCACCGCAACCCTAGAGTCGGATTCGACTGGCTTTCGAGCAAGGGAACCTATATCCTTCTTAAATTGTGGTGCCCAAAACTGAACACAATATTCTAGGTGAGGTCTAACCAGAGCAGAGTAAAGTGATACCATCACTTCACATAATCTTTCTTATTCAGACTTTTGAAGTGATTGGTCAAGAGCAGACTTGAAGGCACACTTTGAGCTTGCACTGCTCAATTGTGATCGGGCTAAAATGGGAATTCCCAGGCTCTTTTCCAAGCCATGAGGTTAGCTTGTGCATTGTCCCTGTAAAGATCCAAGCCCGCCTTCCCCATTGGATTGGATTATGCCTGGGACCCCCGGGACAGCTGCCGGGGCGAAGGAGGGAGCACCAGGCTGGAGGGGGCATCCTCTTGGGGCATGGGCTCTCCTAGGCCCGCCTGCACTGCCGTTCCCGCCATTTCCCTCTTCCTTGTTGTCAAAGGGAAACAAAGAGACTTTAGAAAGGATACTCGTACCACCTTTCAGAAGCCTTCCACAGAGCTGAGCCTGGGGGCTTCAGGTTTTGTCCCTTACTGGCTGCTCCAGAGGTGCTTCAAGCTGCCTGGAGGATCCGGTGTGTCCCTGTGGCAGGCGCTGGGATTCCTGCAGCCAGCAGGTGGGGAAGCTCCCAGATGGAAGGCCAAGGACTGGAGCAGCGGAGAAGGCTTCCCACTGCTGCAGATGGCTCCCCAGTTCTCCCTAGAGGCCTCTGGAATGCCACGTGGGGGGAGGACGGCAAACCCTTCCCACTCACCAAACTTCTTGCCTCCTCCTCTGGTGAGGCAAAAAGTCAAGAGTCCCTGCAGCCAGGGGCTCCAGCCTCCACCCCCCCCCACCCCCACCCCACTACAAATGGTTCCCCAGCATCTTGCCCGTGCTCGGAACAAGGCACGGGGGATGGGGTGGGGGAAAAGGGGGCAAGACCTTCCTGTTCCCTGAAAGGGTCTCCTTAGGGCTGGCCTAGCTCTTCGCCTTCAGCGGACCCAATCCAAGAGGCTTGCTGGGTGGCAAAAGCGAAAATTAAAATAAAGAAGGTAAAGAAATGAAGAGAATGGCCGTGCTTTGTGCAAAGCGCGGTCAGCGGTGTCCGTTGAGTGACACTGTCTGAGTGACAGTGGATGAAGTCCAACCCTGTGGGGCAGAGCCGTTCATAAATGCCAAGCTTGCAACAGCTGTAATGATACTTAGCACAACACCAAGAGATTCCTGCTTAACTCTCCTTGATGCTTGTTTTACTTTTCTGCTTGTAGAAGGGTGTGTGTGTGTAGTGGGGCTGAAAAATGGTAATTGCTCTTTGCAATAGAGCCAGTTTGGTATAGTGGTTAGGAACATGGACTCTGATCTGGGAGAACTGGGTTTGATTCCAAACTCCTCCACGGGCGGGTAATCAGCTGGGTGACCTTGAGTCAGTCACAAGTTCTCTCAGAGCTCTTCTCTCAAGACACCTCACAGGGTGTCTGTTGTGGGGAGGGGAAGGGAAAGGAGAATGTAAGCTGCTCTGAGACTCTCCTGGGTAGTGAAGGGCGGGGTATAGATCCAATCTCTCCTCTTCTTCCCAGCATATTCTCTAACTGCTATCTTTGTTTCAGATTCAACACATGGCTCTCGCTGACCAGAATAGGGCTGCAGGATTATGCGGTTGGGCTCCAGTTATAACGTTGATGTCTTAGCTAGTTTTGTGACTCCTTGTGTACTTGGGTTGTATAAGAATGTGACTAGGAAAATGTAAAGTGAGAACAAGGTGTGAAATATTTGTTCATTCGTAAGGGCAGGAGTGCTAGCTGATAAGGGTTTGGTGATGAATGTCCGGAGCACAACAGTACCAAAAGCTCCATATATCATTGCAGGTCCATTCTTGTTTTCAAGTCCATTGTTGTTTCCATAAGATTATTTGCAATTTGGGATTTTATGCTAATTCCATTGCAAGGATTGACTTCTCCAGTGATGCAAATAAAGTCAAGTTTTCCTTCTGAAACAAAAACAGTAAAATATCTCCGATGTTCCTTTCTGATTTGAGGATAAATCCAGCTGCTACCTTTTTGCTTTGGACGACCAGAGCACCTCATTGCTGCTTTAGTGTAAAAAGCCCTTAGACTTCCTTTAGTGCCCACCAAAAAAATGAAGCATCCATGCTCTGATACAGGAGCTGGGCACCCTGAAGGGCACATTTTAAAGCAGCAGGGAAAGTTGGCATGCCTTTCTGGCGCTTCTGTCAGCTGTCAAAGGGCAAAGCCAGTTTGGTGTAGTGGTTAAGTGCGCGGACTCTAATCTGGGAGAACCGGGTTTGATTCCCCCACTTGCACCTGCTGGATGACCTTGGGCAAGCCATAGTTCTGTCAGAGCTGTTCTTGAAAAAGCGGTTCCTGTCAGAGCTCTCTCAGCCCCACCTACCTCACAGGGTGTCTGTTGTGGGGAGGGGAAGGGAAAGGAGATTGTAAACCGCTCCGAGACTCCCTTGGGTAGTGAAGGGCGGGGTATAAATCCAATCTCTTCTTCTTCTCAGTTTTGTTTGGTGTTCTTGGCAGTGAGAAAGATTAGTAAGCAGGAGCTTGGGTTGGGCTGGCCAGTTTCTCTTCAGATGGCCGACAATGTCATTCTTCATCCTTGGGATGGGGAATTGGGAGTCTGCATCGGTTATGGAAAGTTCCACTATGATTAGTTGAGCCTTACCGTGTGAAGCCCACTTTCTGGTCTTCCCCTGCCCTATTTTATCTCAATTCTGTTTTGGATCTTCCATTCCCCTTTGTCCCTCTCCCTTTGCATTTATACAGTCACAGATGTTTATGTGCACGTATGTTGGTGAGCACAAGTAGATTGATTTGAAAAGAAAAGAAAATAAATGATGGGGACAAACTTGGACATTGAAATTTGGGTGAAAGTCATATAGTCTTCATTGCACCTAAAGCCAGGATTTAGTGCTGTGTTTTTTTGAACCACGATAAATCCCTGATGGCAGCTGAAGGTCTGAAAATGGATATAAGAGATGGGTTCGTTGGGCAAAGCTGAAGATTTGAGCTCACCATCCCAAGGGTGGAAGGCACAACGGTTGGCCCTGTAGTTGCCACAACCCTCTGACATAACTTTCTTTATATCCCTAGTTTATTAGAGAAGATATGAAATACAAAGATGCTTCCAACAAACACAGCCACTTGCACAGAGAAGACAAACACATCACCATTGAAGATCTGTGGAAACGCTGGAAAACATCTGAAGGTGAGGCCGCTGAAACCTTTCTCTTCCCATGCCGGAAGTTTTACCACTCTCATTAGTGAGCGTAGCTGGGAGACTGCAAGGGGGGAAAGTCCTGTGACTGGTTCGGAGTCTGTTGATGGACACAACAAGCCAGAGCTTGCGTAGCTGTGCTGATCCAGTGCAGCAAACTCACAAAATAATAGTCAGGTACTAACTTTTGCTTCAGAGGGTAGCTGTGTGGGTCTGCAGGAAACCAGCTAGATTTTTTTAGATATTATTTTTTTATTTTTTGGAAACCAAAAGACAATAAAAAGAAAATGCAGAAAATAAAAAAAAATGATTCCATATCATAATTATATATCAAAAGGTGACTGTATATGGCAAAGTATATGAAATAGAAAATATTTTTCTCCAACACCAGCTTCATTACAATGAAAGATTTTGGGGTCATTTTTTTACAAAGTACTATAAAACTCCTGTTGGGATACATTTATATTCAACATTTTACATTTCAGATTTCGTAACTGAATTTTCAACTGAATTATTAATTTCACCATTGCTGCATACTCAGTACTGCATATTTTTGCCATTGCTGCATACTCGCTATTACTTTTGGTAAATAGGTAGTATAACAAAAATACAGAAGGGAAGACTGCATATCCAGCAAGTTTATTTTCCTATCCCTCTAAGTGTGGAGAGATGTCTACTTTCCATTTTTCTGTGTAGGCAATTCTTGCCGCTGTCACCATGTGTTTGAATACATTTTTGGTGAATGATTAGGCAATATACCTAGTAGTATATTCTTGGCTTCCATGGGAAATTTAAACTTTTAATATGTTCTGCATTTCTCCATGAACTTCCTTCCAATGTCTTTTTGCTTTTTTACACGTCCACCACATATGGAAGAAAGTTCCGTCTATTTTATTTGAGAAAGCAAATAAAAACTACAAAGGAAAATGTTGGAAATGTCTAGAACAGCTCGATTTGAGTCCAGTAGCCCCTTAGAGACCACTAAGAGTTTCAGGGTAGGAACTTTTGAGAGTCAGCGCTCCCTTGGTCAGACACAGGGTTGGGTAGAAATTTAATAAATCAAATCAGGATCAGACAAAATGCCAAAAAACAGTGTGCAAGCACTCAAATTCACCTGAACTCATATTTTAAAAAGGAGAGGGAGAGAGAAAGATTCTTCAGACTGTAATCCTAAGGACTCTTACCCGCATTCTGGGTAAAATGCCACACAGATTTCACTAGCAGTGCAAGACAGAGCTAGAACCAGGTTGTTCATTTGGTCCAGGGAAGGAGGTAATTCTTGTGCCAAATTTCAAAGTGATGGGATAGTCTAGCCAAATTCCAGAAAAATTAAACCTGCTGCCAACTTGTAACTAATTTTTGCACACTCGAATACATATGTTTCTTACATACTGGGGATGTAACTATGAATATGGACTTAGTATGATATAAATGTTTAATAAGAATTTGGTTATGTATAAAAATAATAGCAAATATTGGAAATAGCAAATGTAATGTCAAGGGTCATTTAGAAAAATTATTTAAAAAACAAGAAGGCATTGCTGCAAGGAACCAGAGTTGTAAGCAAGCATAAAATGTCAGACAGTACATGGTGCTGAAGTTGAGGTGGCATCAATTTCCACAGTTTTTGGAGTTTGAATGAAATTGTAATAGCCCTAACTATTCTAGTGATTTTGTGGTGGGCTATGAAAAACGAAGACATAATTTCCACGTCTTTTTGTATGTGCTAGGTCTCTTGGTCCCGCTGATGTTACTGTGGAAATGAACAACAACAAAAATTGTATCCGTTTCTAGTTCTTGATTTATCATTGGAAAAAACCACCACAATGTAAATGCAGACATTTTTGTTTTGTGCCTTAATGAATATTGCACATAGTACATCACTCATTGCATGTCATAATAAAATGCTTCTATTACTCAGAACTTAGCTTTATTTGCTTTTGTTCTGTAGGTGGGATGTTGTTGGAACAACTTCCATGAGCATTCCTAAGTCATTAACAGCCAGGTTAACTTAATCAACCTGTAGTTTAACTTACAGTTGGGTTTTACAGATCCCTCACTCCAGGGCCCCTCTCCTTGGCACCAATCAGTTGGCTGGACAGGGGGACTTGCTTGAAGCAAACTGACTCCTAGGCTTCTGTCACTGGCAACTTGGCAGCATCACTTCCGGTGTGCACCAGAAGTGACATTATCATACCGCTGGCACCATGGGGACTCGCTGATATTTGGGGGGAAAACACTATGGTTAAAAATGGCTTCTACCGTAGAGTTTTTGCTCAAATATCAGGGCATCCCTTCATTGCCAAGATGTGCTGATGTCACTTCCAGTGCATGCCAAAAGTGACGTTGCCAGTGACAGAGGCCAAGGACTTGGTTTGCTGCGGATAAGTCCCACCCCTGGTTGGCAGGGGTTAACTTTCACGGACTAATCCTCAAACTGGGTCTGTAAACAAGTTTGCTTGACGTGCTAAAAGTATTGTCGGTCTTCTGTTATATAATTGGACAACTATATTTTTTATCAGTTCACTGTTACCTTTGCCATATAAGTCTACAGTTTGCTTTGGGCCATGGAAAATAGGTTGGTCGTACAGAACACACAATTTTCAGATGCCGCTTTGTGTTGCGATGTGCAACTCTAATGCTGGCTTAGATCCCCCCCCCCGAGCTATTTGATTAGTTGCAGTTTGCAAACGAGTTATTGGTGTGGAATTAAATGGATTTAAGACGCTGGTGTAAAGGATGGTGTCAGTAACACCAACTTCCTTAAGCCCGCTTGAAAGGAATTTGCGTGCGAGGGTCACGAGCCATAAATAGTACCGATCGTGTCTGATTAAGAACCAAGTAAGCTGTACCCAGAAATACTGCATCACGATGAGTCTGTCCTTTGATTAGCTTATGTCCAGGCAGCAACTTGTGCTGTTTTTACGAATAAAGCTTCGAGAAGGTTTGTGGAGTATTAATAACTTTGTGCGTGACAGCATAGCAATATCTCAAACCACTGGTGTGGTGGGATCTCAAAGTGAATCATGCCCTGATCTCAGGTAGGTCATGCTAATGATGCCGTCTTCATTTAAAAATAAAAAGAATTGCGTCAGAGGGACTGGAAAGAGAGAGAGAAGGAGAGAGCAGCCAGAAATGCTGTGGGCGGCGGGGGGGGGGGGGTTCAGCAGGTGCATCCTCAGCCCTGCACCTGCCAAAATTCCCTCTTCATACAACTATTAAGGGACAGGTACCGCATGAGTTTAAAAAGCCTTGAAAATTATTGTCCTGTACAGTTTGAGACCAGTGGCACCTTTAAAAGCAACAAAGTTTTATTCAAAGTATAAGCTTTCATCTGCATGCACACCTGAACCCGTCCTGTACAGAGTAAGAGTCCTGACCTGGATAGCCCAGGCAGCCCAATCGCATCAGATCTTGGAAGCTAAGCAGGGTTGGCCCTGGATAGTATTTGGATGGGAGACCTCCAAGGAAGTCCAGGGTCGCTACGCAGAGGCAGGCAATGGCAAACCACTGCTGAACGTCTCTTGCCTTGAAAACCTTACGGGGGTCTCCATAAGTCGGCTGTGTGTCGACAGCATTGTCCACCATGACTGATTAAGAAGGGATGAGGAGGCTGTTAGCGGGCTTCCCCTTTCTGGTTATCAGTTCACATTCCTAATGTAATCATGCTGTTTTTGTAGCCTGCCCTTTCTCCAGGAACTGTGCATGTTACGTTGGGAAGAGAAATGTGTGGAAGGTCATCCCCTAAGCTTCAAAGCTAAATGGAGGTTGCTGCTTTTCTGCAGAAGTTATTGGGAAAACTGGGTTATATACTGAAGAGAAGCACAGGCTAGTGGAAAGATTGAATAATGTTTGGATTGCCGCACCTTCTCACAGGTAGTGATAGATTAATCCTCCCCCCCACCTCCCCGGCTTCCCATTAAACCGTAAATTGTGTTCCAGGCTTGGAAACATACTCAGTGTTAACACTTCCATTGTGAATGAATGTACATCTTTTGAAGAGAGATATACTGCAGTCTGCTGCTCCCATATGTCTTGATGCAAGCACACCCTGTTTGTTTCTTAAGGCACTGCTTTCTCTTTTTTTCTCTTGCAGAATGTGTTATTCTGTCTTGTAGTCGATCATGTTTTTTTAATGCTGGCTATATTTCTGTGTTTAGGGTGTGTTGAAGCATGCACAGGAGTACAGTTAATGCCTGTGTAGTGGCCGTCGTTCACATCTCTTTAAGTGAAACATGTCCTAAAGCTTGGTCAAGAGGGGAGTGAAGGGTACCTCAGATACTGAGAGTGCCCTTGTAACAGATGGGGGGGGGTATCTTCTACCTTCCTTGAAACAAAGAGGTGGGGCTACTTTACCCCATTGGAATGAAATGGACTGCTGGCCAGTTGAGAAAGTGTGGATAGATGAGGGAAAGGTTTGCTCCTGCCTTCCCGCATGATCCCAGCTGAAATGGTTCATTTCTTCAAAAGGGACAAGAAGACAACAGAGCTGGATGACATGCTAATGCGATACTCAAAGTACTTTAACAACCATATATATCATATTTACAAAAATCTGAGTGCTTTAATAAAGATATATATAAAGAGTCCAATATTTAGTCTGTTGTGAAATCTCCAAAGTTCAAGGAAGGTCCAAATTCTAACGAAGTTTCCGGGTAATATGTTCATTTCCAAGGTCTTCCTCTGAACTTTGGAGATTTCACAACAGACTGAATATTGGACTGTTTATATATATCTTTATTAAAGCACTGAGATTTTTGTAAATATGATATATATGGTTGTTAAAGTACTTTGAGTATTGCATTAGCGTGCCATCCAGTTCCGTTGTCTTCTTGTCCCTTTAAATTTGGTAGCTGTGGTTCTCCTATTGTTTTTATTTCTTCAAAAGACAGGGAGAATTGAGGGGGGAAATAATCTGAAGACATCCTGAAATTTTGAACCAGACAGGAATGGAGAATTCTGCTGTAAAAGATTTTAATATACATCCTGTG